CGCCCATCACACCTGATGTCTTAGTTCACAACCATTTGGAAAAGACCAACATGAATTTCCAATGGTCCAAGCTGGTTTATGCTGGTCGTTCTAGTTGGTGGAGCGAAGTAGTCTTGCTGGGGCATCAGCACACTAGCAAACCGAAGATCAGCATCTAAAACAAACATCTTTAGCAGGGTAGCCTGGATCAAAATTTGAGAAATAAGAATCTTAAAGCAGTGATTATCAGATGACTTTGCTTTAAGATGCAGATTTATACTGGTGAACAAGTTGCGATCATCACAGTTTTTTGTATAAACGTTAAAAAAAATGTTTAAAAAAAAAACGTTAAAAATAATCAAACCTTTCGCAATAATTATTTTTATTACTATTTTTTGTTACTTTACTTTGTATTCATTTTAAATCAGTTTAAATAAAATAATTTTTCTTATACGTCGTAAATGATTTGTTACAGTATTTTATTAATGTTAATGTTTTAACGTTAATATATATAAAAAAAATACAACTTTTCATTGTTAGTTCATGTTAGGTCAAGTCCATTAAATAACATTAACCATTACAAATTTTGTATGCACAGCGTGACAACAATGAGGCTTCTGATGCCCATAACTAATGGAAATTTAAATATGACCCAGTTTAAAAACTTGGAGCAAGGATATTTGGGTTTGTGTTAACTTGCTCCTCAAGCTTCTGATTGCTCATTAAAGCTTTTGGTGGGCAGCAACTTCCATTTTCTCGCTGCTCGGATTTTGCAGGGCAGATAGACAGATAAGAGGAGATGAGAAACCGGGTATCAGCTCTACCATCACTCACTTTGCCTCTACCCCTCAGAGCCTGTCTACAAAAAAACAAAAGTCTCCGTCTTGTATAGCAGTCTAGTTCTCACTGCCCCGATATGGTGAACCAGCCTTTAAGGAAAGTCATTTTTTGCTATTCTGTTTGGTAATTGAAGCTATATATTTTAATCATTTAAGTATTAAAATTTATGCAAGCTGTTTCCATAACAGCATGCTAGACATCAGGGCAATGGACACTGAGTTTAGACATACCTCTGCAACTCTCATATTCCCGAAGGTGATGATGCACTGATCATAAAATGCATGCAAAAGCATAAAAAGGTCCTGAAACTATCTTCTGTCATCTAGATACATTATTGTCCTTCTGAAAGAGATTTTCTGAGTCTGCAGCAGTGTGAAGTGTCTGGCCTATATGGCCTTAGATAGACATACCATCTCACATAGCGCTGTCTCAGCCTTTGCTCTCACCTCAGGCCTGTAGGAAATCAAAATGTGGACATGGTCACCATGACCTAAGATAGTATCTGTAACCATTTCCTCTGACAGCTGTTCTGAGTAATGTACATATTGTATATGTACGTAAGAAAATGGAGCTTCATTTATTTGAAGGATTAGTGCCAACATGCACTTGAAGCGAGACACTGATCTTGAAAATGGCAAAATCAATCACAATTACGTTCCTTCCAGTTGAACACATTGAGGGTAAATGAAGTTGCAAATTCTTTCAATTAATTATAAGCATTAAAAGAAAGTTTGATAAAGAGCCTGACCTCGTTTAGCGAGACAAATTTTTAAGCTTCCTTTTGAAACTTCATTAATATGCCATAAGATCTATTGGCAAATTTTGTGATATTATTCCTGTAAGTCATTAAAGTGAAAGTGTAGTGGGACTTTAAGAGGGGATCAGACAGGGATAAAAAAAAAAAAACCCTACAAAAATAGTATGTGTGCCTTTGCACTTCAGAATGGCTCTGTAATCCCTCATCTTTTTATTTGAAATGTCTTTTGAACTGAAGTTAGCGGTGTAGACATTAATCCAGCATTTTGATAGCACTAAGGATTTAGTTCGATTTGGTTCGTATTATCAGGTTGTTTAAAATTAGGCTTGTGTTTTATTGCGGTTTCAAAGTTAATCCATTAGGCCTCTCATGAAAGATGTCAGCATCTTCATGGAGATAAATGGCTCTAAGCTAAAAATCGCTTGGCAAGGTGTTCCTTTTAAATCATACATGACTCCACATACACTCACCTAAAGGATTATTAGGAACACCATACTAATACTGTGTTTGACCCCCTTTCGCCTTCAGAACTGCCTTAATTCTACGTGGCATTGATTCAACAAGGTGCTGAAAGCATTCTTTAGAAATGTTGGCCCATATTGATAGGATAGCATCTTGAGTGAGTGGTACCCGGTGGGGTCTTCTGCTGCTGTAGCCCATCCGCCTCAAGGTTGTGCGTGTTGTGGCTTCACAAATGCTTTTCTGCATACCTCGGTTGTAACGAGTGGTTATTTCAGTCAAAGTTGCTCTTCTATCAGCTTGAATCAGTCGGCCCATTCTCCTCTGACCTCTAGCATCAACAAGGCATTTTCACCCACAGGACTGCCGCATACTGGATGTTTTTCCCTTTTCACACCATTCTTTATAAACCCTAGAAATGGTTGTACGTGAAAAAATCCCAGTAACTGAGCAGATTGTGAAATACTCAGACCGGCCCGTCTGGCACCAACAACCATGCCACGCTCAAAATTGCTTAAATCACCTTTCTTTCCCATTCTGACATTCAGTTTGGAGTTCAGGAGATTGTCTTGACCAGGACCACACCCCTAAATGCATTGAAGCAACTGCCATGTGATTGGTTGACTAGATAATTGCATTAATGAGAAATTGAACAGGTGTTCCTAATAATCCTTTAGGTGAGTGTATACAGATGCACAACGTCTGTTTTTTTGTCCATACAATGGAAGTCAATGGGATCTGCTGTTGCTTGAACCCCTACATTTTTCAAAAAATCTTGTGTTTTGAAGATTTGTCGAGGGTAAATTATATAAATGATATCAAGAAATTTCATTTTTGGGCGAACTGTCCCTTAAGTAATACAAAAGGAAGTTCTTGGTGTGAAGGGAAAACCTGTTTGATAACAGTAATTTGTTCTATTTTGTTTGGTAAGTGAAGCTAGATAGTTGAAGCTACACCTAATGATATCAGTATTAAAAAGTATGCAAAAGGTTTCAGTTTAGGGTCTAATACTACAGAGTGTTAGACAAAAATAAGTTCTTTGTATTCTGCACGATATTCAGCCTCCAAGCTTGATACATATGCATTATGAACACATGGGTCAAGCTGCAGTGGAGATGATGGAACCTTTTGGCAAGGTTAGCAAAGACAATTCAGCCCCCTTCTCTCTTGATTCCCACGCTCTATGACTGTCCAGCTTCAGGCCACTTGCCTGAGACACACATGTCATGCCACATATTCTACACTGACCCACTTACAGTACAGCACATATATAATGCTCATGTGAAGGTGGGGGTCAGAGTCTTTGCCACCAGCACAGGCGCAGAAATCACACATCAGCCGAGAGCAGAACGCTGAGAATGAACTGCTACTGTATTGAGCTTTAATGCTTTTCTTTCTTACAGCCAGCAGATTTTTTTTATACAATTTTCTGAAATAAGAATACAACAAAGAGAAAAAGATCAGCACTTAACATCCCTCTATCCATCTAGCCTGATTGAAACAAAGAAGGGTTAGAGAGATGCAGGATGGACACAAGGTTCAGACGATCTATGACATGGAGGTATAAAGAGAAGGAAAGGAAGAAATGCAGACAGGCATGTTTCCATGGGCGAAGGGGAAAGATTTGGGGTGAGAAACTTGCATCATTGGCGGCAGCCAATCAGAGGCCTCGTATAAAATGTTCAAAGGGAGTGTCCTAGCAACAGACAAGTAAATACATTTTCAGCCTCAGATTGATTTCATATAAGGGTAAAGCACATATTTTTGCTAAACTGACATCTTGATGTGTATGCGGTACTGACACAAACTAATGAGGCTTATAGTGATTTAATGATAAAATTCAGAACTTTTTTGGTTTAAAAAGCATTTCAAGTATTCATAAAATACATACCTACCCAATATGCACATATGCAATATATTTAGCTGTCAACTGCATTTATGTGCATTTTAACAGTGATCAGGCTCATTTTGATCAAATTTAGTATAATTCAAGTTCTTTAATTGACAAAAAATGTAATTGTGCAAAAAACAATGATTTTGTATAATGATTGAAAACTAAAGCTGTTCTTTACCCTTGCAAATAAATATTCAGTAAATTACAGATCTTGTATTCACCCAACCTGATTTTTTTCCCTGACATGTCAGGGGTCTTTTACAATCGAAAGCATTAATTTCCGGACATGTATGACCAGACTCCATATTCTAGGGCTTCATTCATACATCTACCTCTTTCTTCCCCCCCTCAGGTGTGAATTTCCTCTCCCATATCCCGCTCATGAGAACGAGAACTAATCGAAAAAAGGAGTGGTTCATCTCTCCATTCATGATTTCATTCATTTCTCTCAGCCGTTCACATGCTACATGTTTTTAGCAATAACAATGCACAAGCTGCACACATGCATGCAACCTAATTAGCCCTGTGTGGTTTAGCGTTTACAACAAATGCCTCTGCATATGTCACTCACCGGGGAATAAAATGTCATTCCTATGAAGATCACTCTGCCTAAAGGGAAAACGCTTCTATGTCCACAAAAGGGTTGATCAACGAGAACATCCATAACTATTTACCCATAACACCTCCTTATGCACCACTGGCTTTGGTTAATATCAGAGGTTGAGTATTGATTAGACTAATAGGTGTACGTGTAATACAACTGGTGTGTTTGTGTGTCAGTGTGTGCATTCTGCCATGTGCTGCAGTGAAAGAGGACGAGCCCCAGTTGACCGATCGTGGGGCTGAAAAAGTAGAACACCCCCTTCCCTTCCCTCTCCTCCAATCCCTCCTTCTTCCGCACCCAGTCCCAGTATAAGCCGGCTTCGATGGATGCCGGTACAGCATCACCTAGGTATCATGCTAGAACATCAACAGCATCTCTCTCTACCCAAGCAATGAGGATGAACGAAGCAGAAAAAGATAGTGACACACAAAAAGCTGGAAACAGAAATAGTTAGCGTGCCCTCTTACCGGCTCGGCGTGTTTCAGGGAGAAAACAGTGGTCCAGCGCTTTCCGTAGGCAAAAGGAAGAAGAGAAAGGATGGAGGGAGTAAAATAAAAGAATGAAAAGGGGAAAAAGAGCAGGGCCAGAAACTCCTGTATCCCAGGGAGCTGAGACTGTGGGTTTCCCTAAACGCACGGTTAGTGTCTACTTAAACCACAAGCTCACGCTGAGTGTGTGCGTCTCTCTCTCCCCCTCCCTCGCTCGCGTTCAGGCACCAAATGGTCTCTCTCACTGTCTCTCTGCTTTCAAGACAGTCCTGCCTAGCAGCTGCTCATCTATGAGAAATGGAACGCTCTGTTCCTCTCTCTTTCTCTCTCTCTCTCTCTGTCTCACAAAGACCTCTGCTAGCCTCTCCCCTTCACACCCCCTCCCCCTAACTAACAACTGACTGCTGGGGGTGGGGGGTGGGAAGGGGGTGCGAGTATGCACGAGTGTTGTTTGTTTGTGTATATAAGGGTGGGGGGAATTAACCCTTCTCCTTCAGGCTACAACAGCAGGTGTGTGTGTGTGTTTGTGTTGGTGGGTGACATGGACGTGTCCCCTCCGAAAAGGTGATGAGTCGCTGTGCTTATGGGGAAGGTGCAATGAGGCACGTCTAAGTGGCCAGAATAGCTATTGTTTGTGGTGGTCACACGATTCAAACCACTGTTGTATAGGCTACATAAAACATTCAGCCATGTAGACTAGCACAGGACTGATATTGGCGCATCAGGGAAGGTATAAAGATGTCCTCGGATGTAAAATGCATATTAAATTAATTCAAGCAAACCTGGGTACTGGATTTACAGAGATTTGTAGCTAAAACAAAGATTATTGGAGAATGTTTTTTTTTTGTTGATTCAGCTGCAGGCGCCATCTTCTGGCAAGACGCGGGAATTGATTCGACCCGCGATGCGCGGTATTCTCTAGCCATTGAGCGTACATCATTTGAGCCCCTTTCACATGTAGCGTGTGAATGCAAATACACCCAGGGATTGATCCCAGGATCGATATCAGGATGGGGACCTAGTAACATTGTTGGGATCAGTCCCGGAACTCGCTTCACCAGCTTAGTGGAACGGTACACGATGCGCTAGTTTATGATTGAATCAGAAAAACATGCACGAACGTGGTTTCTCAAGAGATAAATCGCAGATCAAGCAAACTTAAGAAGCTGCAGAGACATTACACGTCCCATCAATGTCATGTGTCTTTGCGGGATGTGTGTGAACGCACACACAGATTCCAGAAAATCACTTGCAGTGTAAATTAACCAAAATCAAACGATCCCGGGACAAATCCCAGGACACATTATCAGTTTATTTTCCGGAATCTCTGTGTGAAAGGGGCTCTAAACACTTGTTATTGTGATCCATAGTGGGATTGAATGAGTGCACTCAGTAACGTCCTCTATGGTTTCGGACACGACTACAAATGGCTGTCCCTTCAAATAACGCCCTATTTGAGGGTATAGAGGGCGATTTCACAGCCCAGGACTGGCAGCGCGTGATAAGGCACACCTGAATCGAATAGAGCCTCGTCACTGCCGCTGTTAAATGGCGTGTGTGCCTCTCCTCGAAAGACCATGGTGTCCTCGCAGGTCCAGGAGGGGAGCGGGGAGGGATTCCCGCTCTGCCACGCCGTGAGTCGCCGGACCCATATGCCCGTGCAGGGATGTATGCTTCGCTGCCGCCAAGCTGAGAATGGCCGGGCCGCCTTACCCCTCAAACGCCGTGGCACTTGGGCTAACAGACTAAAAGCTCTAAAAACTCAGGTGTTTTTCTTTTTCTGATGAAAACGTTCCAGTTTAACAGAGTTAACTTTCATTTCATCAAAACTTCATTCAGTTTCTGTCAGGAGACGGCATAGTGTTCAGAAACGTCAGTGGGTGACTCATGCTGTGTGGAAAAGTACAACAAAATGTTTTGTCGAAATTGAGAAGAACAAGAGTGTGTGGAGGAGTGCATTGTGTGTGAGTGTGAAAATGCTTTTAGACGTGCTTACCCCTAGTGTGAGCCTCCACCAGTAATGGTAGTGCATTAAAAAAAGAGTCAGACAAATGTATATCTAATTATAGATATAAGCCTTCCTGTCAGGCTGCTCTTCTCAATAAGAGGATGTTGTGAGGTTTCACTTTCAGACTTGCTCACATATTCTTTCTGTTTTTATGTGCAATTCTCTTGTCACAGTCTGCTAAGCTGTTTCTTTTTATTTAGATTTGAACTCCTGGTTGTGAATTGTGAATTTATGATTTATTTTAGATGCATGTGCAAAAGACATCTGATTCTAGGCAAAGTCCCTTTAATAAGACAAGTCATTTCACTCGGCGGCCATCTTTGAAACGCCTCTTGGGCAAGTGCAGCTCCTATCTTTTTGAATAAGGGAAACATCAAATTCTCCAAAACTGTTCGCCAAGCTTACGATTAAATTTCATATTTGAAATCACTAATGAAATCCGACAACAACGTTCTCATAAATTTTGTTTCTAAATGCTTGAATCGTGACAGAAAACAAAATCTTTGGCTCTTATTTAGAAGGTGGGACTTATACCACCATATTGAGCATTGCACTTTTGCCTATTCAAAACAATACGAGTGACGTGTCTTGTGTAATTCTATAGTCTTTGTTCTAGGGTATTCTGGGTGGTTGCTAGGGCGTTGCTATGGTATTGTGGTTGTTGTGTGGTTGTAGAGCATTGCTATTTGGTTGTGGGGGGTTGCTAGGCTGTTATTATGCCTATAGCCTCTGTGGCACGTCCTGATTTTGCAAAGTTAGAGTTGTTCATCTGTCAATATATTTGGTTGATCCTGGAACAACATTCCTGTTCGAAAATTTAGTCCTATCCCGATCCCTACCTGTAAACCTAACCCTATAAATTATTCCTACAGTCAGAGGGAAATTATGGGTGAATAGCACTGATGTAGAAGCACCTAACCTTGGTTGTAAGCCTAAACTTGACATTAACTGTAAACTTGTCCCTCAAATCTGATTGGTTGATTGGCATGTTCCAGGATCAACAAAGATGTTGATCCAGGAACATGTCGCACTCGGTGAAATCAGGTTCTGCAGGCTCTGTGATATTCTGGTCTCTATATGACTCTGGTCTCTTCTTCAATGTAAGTCCATGAGATTGTTTGCGTTCTACCACTTTTATTAGCACTGCTAATAAAAGTATTAACTAGTATGACTGACAGCCACAGTGGCTCCAAATCAGCAGAGTCGCTTCCTGCTGATGTCAAACAGACCTGCTTATTGCCAGGTGACTGATATGTGCTGAGATGGTGTGTGGGAAATGTTATTGTGACATTAAAAAATGAGTGGTGAGATTTCACCTGACAATTTCCTGAACAGAGCGACCTGAAGGGTTGGTCAAAATCCCTTGCCTCTTCAAATACATATATAATCATATATCATTTTGAATGGTTATATACTTCCTTTATAAAAATCAATAATCAAATATATTCATTATCACATAATAATTTTTATATTCTTGTGCTTGTGAAATTATATTTTCTTAAATGCATGGATGCAAGTAACCAGTTTCTTTTAGGTGCCTCCCAATCGTACTTTGAGATTGCACGTAGTACACGCAGGACACGAAGGCCACGTAACCCACAAGGCCGTTTGTCTCTTTCTCTGGGATCAGTAGAAAGGTTAGAGGGTCCTAAAGGCAGCGTGGGCACATATGATTCTTCGCTGGACATATGGTCAAGCTATATTGAGCGTTACTATCAAACTTTAATTGTTGTATTAAAATGTATTCTTTGCAGTATATTTCCTTCCTTGGGAGTAAATGTCAGTGATCTGTTTTTCTCCCAAACGAGTGAATGTTTTAGCATTATGTTTTGGTATACTTAACTGATAATAGGGAGCTCAGACTCTCTTCAGCCTTGATGGGAGCTGTTATTTGCTAGTGTCTGTTATTTGTGTGTGTGTGTGTATGACATTCTATGTAGGTTCTGGACGGTCGGACCAGACACCCCGGCGCCCTTCTCTAACCTGCGAGGCCACCACAGGCCTAAATCCAATGAGTGGACGACAACTATCTTTACTAATGGCGATAGGCACCCCTATCTCCTCACATGTGTTAAATTGTTTAGGCTTTCATGTTTCTTAGCCAATGAGAATCATTCAACCTGTAAGCAATGACGTAGCTTAGACCTTGGAAATGGTATAACTGCTGTGATCTTTGTAACTGTAAGCGGGGCGGCCTACGAACTCCTGTGGGAGTCTTGAAGCTGACTTCTGCTGATGAAAATGCAAACTATCTTCAGTAAAACTTTTCTTTAATTTTTTATAAGTCTGACTCCGGGTCTTCATTCTTCATATCTGGTTCTGGGTCTTTGACTGTATACCCCTTACAGTTATGGTGGAGGATGCGCTGGCAATTATTCTCGGTGACACCCCTGGCAAATCAACAAACAAGGTAGTAAGCTTTTGTTAATTGTTAGGGCTGTCTGACTGGAAGAGATTTTGAAGGAGAGCGGGAGAGCTTCACTCCGATGAGGCGAGTGAAGCTTCACTCCGATGAGGCGAGTGAAGGAGTAAGTTAATTATACTGCTGACAGTATAAGAAGTCGCTGAGAGCGTCGTTAAGGGTAACGGCAGCAGACAGCGCAAGCGAAGCGTGCTCTGTGGGGGCCCCGCTGGGCATTACTGGTGTAGCACCACCCCAGCAGAGCACGTCCCTGGGCTAGAGGTCCAGTGGCACCGTAAACCTGCTCAATCTCTTCCATCTCAGATAGGGGATCCCCGAACTTAGTGAAGTGAATCAGGCAGTTAGGGATACTAACAATAACAGGGTTGTTTGCCAGGGATGCATCAGGAACAATTCCGAGAGAAAAATTTAAAAAGTTGTGACCCAAATTGGCATGGACCAGTATATGTAACTGTGATTTTGGAGTATACTTTGCAGTTTCATCACGCAGAAGCCAAGCTGTGTTGTTCAAAGATCGCCGCCTCCATTTCTGCAATAACTTCAGGTGAGTATGAACCATGATTAAGATATGGCAGAAAAATGTAATAACTTAATCAGTAACCTGAAGAGTCCTGAAACAAATAGTGAGACAGGAAAGCAAACGCTGTAAGCAGCTGTGCTCTAAAGCCCTCACTTCAAAGAAATTAGCAGAAATGATTAAGTAAATGGTAGTCAGGATTTTGATTCTGATTGAAAAAAAAAAAAAAAAAACTTGACTGGCTACAAACAAACAAAGAAACTGAAAAATTTAAATGTTTAGCCTCGTATTGCTTACGATGATTACAAGAAGCAAGTGAAAGAAATTCTGGGTCAGGGATAATTTCCCTCGACAAGCGACT